AAATAATCGAACATTTGTTGATCAATATCATTCAATCCATAGTCTAATCGTATTTCATTATAATTTACTATGTACTAAATATACCCTTTAAAAATTAGATAAAATATAAGATTAGTTTTTAATATTACATTATGCCCCCATTTGACTCTCTTTATTTCGACTCTTTATTTTGCACTCATTTTCAACCACATATTTACACAATAAAATATTTTGTACGTAAATTCAAAACTTTTTCTGTTTTTTAGTTATATATTCTCCAAAAAAATCACTATTCAAAATATTATTTTCCCCCAATTTCTCTTTATAATGATTGATAAATATATTTTATGCACTTATTTAGGCCATAAAACACGGATAATTGTAGATAAATATATTGCAATATGGCTTAATTATGATCCGAAAAGAAGAAAGTAAGATATGAAAAAGTCGAAGACTAATTGAACGAAGAAATGAAGTATTGGAAGAATAAGAAGAAGTGAGAAAGAGATCAAAAAACGAGAAAATTGAGTTCGGAAACTAAAACGTAAAAATTAGATCTTTTTGCCTATTTGTGCTATAGCAAGTACATTTATCCATGCGGTCGCAGGTAGGCAACAAGGATTTTTAGTTATTTGCAGTTCAAGAGTTCTTGTTTGGATGTGATAGTTCATACTATCTATACACGGTATCTCGATATAAGATTTCAATTTTTTCATGCTTTAGTAATAACATCGTTTCATAAAGCTAAGGTCTAAAATCTAGAAGAAAATCCGTATTATCAAATGATTCATTGTAATTATTTCTAGTAACGAGTAAATTATCCACTTTGGTTCAATAGTGGAATTTCATTGAACAAAAGGGTAATGTTATTCCCTCATTTATCAATAATTTCATTTTTTTCAAGATGTATAACGATCATTTCATCTATGAGAAGGATTTCTAGTTTTATAGACCAACTTACCATTTTAAGAGTCGTCGAAAAATAACCCTTTCCTTCATTTCTTACATCGCTTTGAGCTATGAACATTTCGAACTCTATGAATTACCACACACCACGTAGCCAAGTATGATACAATATGAACTAGTTATTCGCAGTTCAATAATTCTTATTTGGAGTGGATAATTCATACTATCAATACATAGTACAAAATATTTTCATTAAATAACTAGAAAATTGAGTTCGGAGACTAAAACGTAAAAATTAGATCTTTTTGCCTATTTGTGCTATAGCAAGTACATTTATCCATGCGGTCGCAGGTAGGCAACAAGGATTTTCAGGGCTAAAGTCGGTTGAACTATGCTATAACATAGTACATTTTCGGAGGAAAATTTTTGTTTTCCTTATATGACTCAAACTCTTATGAAAACAATATTTGGAACGTCTTTTTAAGGCCTAGGGCCATCCAAAAACATATTACCACGCATTACAACCCATTGGATAGCATAGAAGACGGCAAGAAATATCAAGAGAGATTCCACCACGTCTAGATCCAATGAAATTCATAATTGGGTGATGAACTCTATATAATTCTTGTTTTCTTCTTCATAACATACTACGCTAGATTTTTTTATGTTAAAAGAACGATGAACTTTGTAATATGAATTTTTAATCTGTAATTTTACATATTTGACATTGAAAACACGTCTTTGAATTTTGATTGATTTATATGATTATTTTTTCTCTACCATTATTGTTCATGATAATTATATGAATTTAGTGGTTTATTTTATGCATTCGAAAAAAATGAAAATTCACTTGACTGTGTAAATCGTCATAAGGTCTAATATGTGATAAAAATAAATTGCTATGCTCTATATGAATATTTAAATGTCCATAAGAATTCATGCATTTTTGTATGTTCGCATCCGTTATAACAATATAGTTGAGTCATATATGAGAGTGGGTTTAACATTACTCGAGATAGATTGTTGAATAAAATAGGAATATTGATTCTCAAAATTCAATTGTTTTTTCAAAGCGTTGAATTAAGATTAAAAATGATTATTAAATGGAAATTTGGAATCCTGGCGAACTTGTCATTTATTAAAAAACATTAACTTGCATTTAACATAATTTGCATTTAGTTTAGTTAATTTACTCATAATTGCATAAGTAGATTATTTTAGCTATACCGTTGTCACAAACAAACACATCGCATTAAAATTTAAGGTCGAGAAACTTAACTAAATCAATTATCATCAAATAGTACATTTGCGTTGATTTTAATTCGAAAGATATTTTCGTGAACAATGATCATCAAACAATGGGGTTCATAAAATAATAATGAGAACGCTTGTTAAATTTTGATAAAGAAAGTGAGACCTAAAAACTGCTTTTAATACTTTAATCTAATTACTTAAGGTATAATTATTAATTAGACAAATAATCATAAAATTAGAGTACGTTAGAAAAATAAGGTGAATCCTAAACTGAAAAAGTAAAAAAAATACTATAATAGATAATCCTACTAACTGATAAGTACATTTTGTGCACTTATTTAGACCATATTATTAAGTTTTTATGTCGTAAAAGTATTGAATTTTACTTAATTTAAGTAATTTTTTGTTTATTTCAGTATTGGATCCGTTTCAAAGCAATTGAAAAGGAAAGAATGAACAATTGGCCATTCGATGGAAAGTTTAGGTATCGAACTATACACTTAGGAAATTGAAGGATTTGAATTAAATTAAAGAAGATATGGACTGCACAAATAAATTTGTATCAATGACTAAATTTCATTAAGTGGAAAACGTTGTACCTTGATGAGAAATATCTCACTAATTGGGCTTCAAACCGAAAAGGGATAAAAGTTTATTTGGGCTTGGCCCCTTTTGGACTAGTTGCTTGTGATTGGAATTTGAAAGGAATCGTAATTCAATTAGAATGGAACAAAAGAGGTTGTAGTGGGCATTTGTCAAATTGGCCTTGTTGACCAAGCATTTTAAACCTTTTATAAAATTGTCTATTTTACCCNAAATAATCGAACATTTGTTGATCAAATCATTCAATCCATAGTCTAATCGTATTTCATTATAATTTACTATGTACTAAATATACCCTTTAAAAATTAGATAAAATATAAGATTAGTTTTTAATATTACATTATTCCCCCATTTGACTCTCTTTATTTCGACTCTTTATTTTGCACTCATTTTCAACCACATATTCACACAATCAAATATTTTGTACGCAAATTCAAAACTTTTTCTGCTTTTTAATTATATATTCTCCAAAAAAATCACTATTCAAAATATTATTTTCCCCCAATTTCTCTTTATAATGATTGATAAATATATTTTATACACTTATTTAGGCCATAAAACACGGCTAATTGTAGATAAATATATTGCAATATGGCTTAATTATGATCCGAAAAGAAGAAAGTAAGATATGAAAAAGTCGAAGACTAATTGAACGAAGAAATGAAGTATTGGAAGAGTAAGAAGAAGTGAGAAAGAGATCAAGAAACGAGAAAATTGAGTTCGGGGACTAAAACGTAAAAATTAGATCTTTTTGCCTATTTGTGCTATAGCAAGTACATTTATCCATGCGGTCGCAGGTAGGCAACAAGGATTTTCAAGGCTGAAGTCGGTTGAACTATGTTATAGCATAGTATATTTTCGGAGGAAAATTTTTGTTTTCCTTATATGACTCAAACTCTTATGAAAACAATATTTGGAACGTCTTTTTAAGGCCTATGGCCATCTAAAAATATATTACCACGCATTACAACCCATTGGATAGCATAGAAGACGACAAGAAATATCAAGAGAGATTCCACCACGTCTAGATCCAATCAAATTCATAATTGGGTGATGAACTCTATATAATTCTTGTTTTCTTCTTCATAACATACTACGCTAGATTTTTTTTATGTTAAAAGAACAATGAACTTGGTAATATGAATTTTTAATCTGTAATTTTACATATTTGACATTGAAAACACGTCTTTGAATTTTGATTGATTTATATAATTATTTTTTCTCTACTATTATCGTTCATGATAATTATATGAATTTAGTGGTTTATTTTATGCATTCGCAAAAAATGAAAATTCACTTGACAGTGTAAATCGTCATAAGGTCCAATATATGATAAAAATATGTCGTTATGCTCTATATGAATATTTAAATGTTCATAAGAATTCATGCACTTTTGTATGTTCGCATCCGTTATAACAATATAGTTGGATCATATATGAGAGTAGGTTTAACATTACTCGAGATAGATTGTTGAATAAAATAGGATTATTGATTCTCAAAATTCAATTGTTTTTTCAAAGCGTTGAACTAAGATTAAAAATGATTATTAAATGGAAATTTGGAATCCTAGCGAACTTGTCATTTATTAAAAAACATTAACTTGCATTTAACATAATTTGCATTTAGTTTAGTTAATTTACTCATAATTGCATAAATAGATTATTTTAGCTATACCGTTGTCACAAACAAACACATCACATTAAAATTTAAGGTCGAGAAACTTAACTAAATCAATTATCATTAAATAGTACATTTGCGTTGATTTTAATTCAAAAGATATTTTCGTGAACAATGATCATCAAACAATGGGGTTCATAAAATAATAATGAGAACGCTTGTTAAATTTTGATAAAGAAAGTGAGACCTAAAAACTGCTTTTAATATTTTAATCTAATTACTTAAGGTATAATTATTAATTAGACAAATAATCATAAAATTAGAGAACGTTAGAAAAATAAGGTGAATCCTAAACTGAAAAAGTAAAAAAATACTATAATAGATAATCCTACTAACTGATAAGTACATTTTGTGCACTTATTTAGACCATATTATTAAGTTTTTATGTCGTAAAAGTATTGAATTTTACTTAATTTAAGTTATTTTTTGTTTATTTCAGTATTGGATCCGTTTCAAAGCAATTGAAAAGGAAAGAATGATCAATTGGCCATTCGATGGAAAGTTTAGGTATCGAACTATACACTTTGGAAATTGAAGGATTTGAATTAAATTAAAGAAGATATGGACTGCACAAATAAATTTGTATCAATGACTAAATTTCATTAAGTGGAAAACGTTGTACCTCGATGAGAAATATCTCACTAATTGGGCTTCAAACCGAAAAGGGATAAAAGTGTATTTGGGCTTGGCCCCTTTTGGACTAGTTGGTTGTGATTGGAATTTGAAAGGAATCGTAATTCAATTAGAATGGAACAAAACAGGTGGCAGTTGGTTTACACGCGCATACAGGGACAAGAAAAAAAGGGATTCCTTTTGGCATACAAGAAAAGTGGCGGCTGGAGTGTTGAAATGAAAAGGGCAGAATACACGGCCAGATATTGAACAAACAAGGACGGGCGACATAAAGCAAAACTTGAAGAATAAAATTCCAGATTTTTATTATAAATAAAAGGGAATTAATTACTTTCTGTCAATTTATCGATGATGTCATTTAAACTTTATTTGTTTAATTCCAACATTATGCTAGACTAAATTATTTTATGTTATAATTACTATGAACCTTGTATTATGATCCTTTAACTTTTGAATCTTATTTTTGATGTTAAAGCACATTTTCAATTATTGAATGATAGTCATTGATTTAATTTTCTCTATAATTATATGCGCAATAGTTGTATGAGTCTTGGAGCTTATATAATCTTCGAAAGATTGAAAATAAGTTAAATATAGTGTCAACTATCGTAAAGTTTGATAGAGAATAGAAATATACTACTATAATTTACGCGATTTTTAAGTATTCATAAATTTTTAATTCATTTTTATATGCTCGCATCCATCATAAAAATATAATCGAGTTACAAGTAAAAATAGATTTAATTCTACTTTAGAGAGATTGTTGAATTTATTAGGAATATTGATTTTCATAATTGAATCGCGTTGACAAATTTGTAAGTTTCACGGTTAAAAGGAAATGATATAAGGGGATTTGAGATCCTAATACACTTTTCATCATCATTTTTTTATAAAAATTGCATTTATTTATAATATTGTATTGATTTTAATTAATTTAGATTTTATATTCATAAG